CCCCAAAACCCCAAAACCCCAAAACCCCAAAACCCCTTACCGTGCATTTATAGTTGTAGATATAAAAATTTAAATTTTTGCAAAATGTTGATTAACCAGGAAGACTTAGCTAAACTCTGGAATGACTTAACCGCTTGCTCCGGAGAAGGATGCACTATAAAAATATTTGTAGCGAACAACTGCGATGCACTTTCCGCCTTTAAGATATTGACAAACCTACTTGCAGAGAGCTCAATTAGCTATTCATGAAAGCCGGTATTCAGCTACAGTGACATATACGAGGGAATTACAAAGGAATCCTTGCCTGAGGAGATAAAGTCGTTAATCTTCCTCAACTGTGGTGCAAAGATTGATTTCACTGAACAGTGGTTCTACCAGGGAGACTCTGATATCAAGACATACATTTTTGATTCTGCAAGACCAATCCTGCACAACAATGTTCTGACCACGAAGGGAGTCTACGTAGTTGACTTTGGAGATATCCAGATCGAGGACTGCCCTGAGGACAAGGACATTCAAGCCTTCAACGACCCAGAAGGCGAAGGCGACAATGATTCGTGTGTTGACGGTGAAAAAGAATATGAGATGCTCATTAATGGCGGGAAAGACGAAAAAGAGCCCAAAGAAGAATCTAAAGAAGAAACTAAGGAACTTGACCCTGAAGAAGATGATTTTAATATTGATGAAATCGGCAAGAAGAGGAGACGTGAGGAAGACACTCAGGAGGATGACAAATCCAAGAGGAAGAAAAGATACCAGGAGTACTATAGTGGAGAGTACTTCACGACTTGTTGCTCATACTTTACCTACTGTCTTGGAGTTCATTTGAATAAACAGAGTGTGGAATTCTTCTGGCTCTGGATCTTAGGACTTACTGATCAATTCATACATTCAAAAATTTCTCATGAGGAGTACTTGAGAGAATATGAGAAGTGTAAGAAGGACTTCCTTCTGATATCAGATCAGAATTTTAATCAAGAGAATAATTCTCACAACTTTAACCAATCAGGAGAAGGTGCTGAGGGAGGACTTCAGTTCGACAACAAAGGATACTTCTATAAAAATGTTGATCTTGACACTGAAAACTTTACAGTAGGGTCAATTATCCCCTCTCAGGAGTTTAGGTTCATGTTCTTAAGATCTTGGTCTCTATATGAAGCCGCAAAGAATTCAGAATACATTGCTATTAAGCTTAAATTGTGGCAGGATGCTGGTAAAGGAGAGCTAGCCAGATTTTTACTGACTCTCGGAATCCCAGAGCATGAGTATACTCAGAAGTACAAATTCATGTCTCCAAAATACAAAAAGATGCTTCAGGAGAAAGGTGCTGAAGTTGGTTCCAAGTTTGGGCTCGATGATCTCCTCTTCTCTAGTTTTGTCAGACAGATTAACAATAAGACCCAGATGAATGCTGCTGATATTGTTTATATAGTCACTTCTCTGATGGAGTCTCCTAAACCAGTGATGATCGACAAAATCCCTGGGGAGGGAAACTTAGAAGACATTCATAAGCATTTGGAAGCATTCGACCCGGAAAATTTCTCTATCAAGGATTTTAGAGAAAACCAGATTGATAACTTCTGGTCAGCTTATGATTCTTTGGACAATAAAAACTTTGACCTTATAAGTTGAGGAGTAAATATGAGCAAGGAATATCAAAAGGGTTTGATATCCCTTGGGTCTTCTATCATTATGAACAAGAAAGTCAATCCTTGCACCTTCTTCAGGTATGCGATTGTCTCTAATGACGTTCTTGCAGAAGTGAAATTATTCCACCATCCGTTAGCCATTCAGAAACTAGCCTTGTTTGTTATGGAAGCATACCTTTCAACTCGGAAGGTGAAAGATCCTAAGCCCATGGTGTTAGCAGTGAAGAACTCAATGAAAGATGTTTACTTATGAGCTGGTGTTCTTGGAAGACAGAATACTTATATAAAATCAAGAAATGATTTTGGAGATCAGTTCCGTGATGCTGCAGAAAAGATTGAATCTAACTTTAACCATGATGGGTTTGATACATCTCTGATAGAAATAAAGGCTGCCAACTTCGATGAGTTCCTTGATGAATTATTGACATTTTAGCTAATATTCAACAAACAATAAAACATACATTTCTATTTGCATTACCCCAAATGGGGTTTTGGGGTTTTGGGGTTTTGGGGTTTTGGGGTTTTGGGG